AAACCCTAAACCCTAACCTTCAACCATCTCCAGGCTACGTAGCCGAGACCTTTTTCACGGCCCTCCGCGATGCAGCACTTCGGGGCTTGGATGCGGGGGTGTTCCAAAAACTGTGGTCCTTTGGGGCCAGCCACAGATTCCAAGGGTTTAGAGTTTACTGTGTTGGGTTTTGTGTTTCAAAAAATGGGGTCCTTTGGGGTCCCCCCACAGATTCCAAGGGTTTAGGGTTTAGGNNGTTTAGGGTTTTAGGGTTTACTGTGTTGGATTTTGGGTTTAGGGTTTGGAGTTTAGGGTTTAGGGGCTGATTAGGGTTCAGGGTTTTGAGGGTTCCCACACTTGTGGGGTCAAGGAGGCTTAGTACGTAGAATATTGACAGGGATAATGAGGGTTATTCTGTATTTTAGGGGGGGGGTATAAGTATTCTTGCTAAATCCCCCTGACCCTCCAAGTAGCGTTTAAGGGTTGAGTAGGGTTTAGGGGTTTGGGGTTTGATTACAGTATATTGAGGTCTATATGGGGGATCCGTGCTTACGGAAACTAATGCGGGCTGTGGTGCAAAGTTGGGAATGTCACAAGACGGGGCCTACGGTCAAGGAGTTCAGGGTTACAGTACGGGTTTGGTTTTTGAGTGTAGAATTCGGGGTTCAGGATTAGGGGTTCAACATTTTGGGCCATAAGCCCCACATCCTAAACCATAAGCCCTAAAAACCTGAACCCTCAGACCTAATCCCCAAACCGTGTTGGGTGCAGGCTTCAGGGCCACTCGAGTAGTATTTTATTTGGGGATACTATGGTACCCAATATAGAGTAAGATTATATCCTCCTTTTGGGGTATAGTATTTTATATGAGGAATATGATCTTACTAGGTTCAACCACCACAAAAAAAAGCGCTACCCACTTTATGGCACAAGGTTTGCAGCGTAGGCTAGGACTCCAAGTTGCAGCGTGTAAGGCCTGTCGGGATGGATGGGAAGGGTTTAGGGTTAAGGATTTAGGGTGTAGGTTTAGGATTTAGGGTTTAGGATTTAGGTTTTTTTTGGGTGTAGGATTTAGGGTCTAGGACATCAAACACAATCACCGCCCCTTCAACTAGACGAATTTCAGTTCTCGTGTATACTCATCCTTGTCTACAGACTTGCTTTTCAATCCTAATAGGTGGTTCTCCTGGTGGACTACATTGGCTCCTTCTCGTTGAGAAATGACTGGGTGAGGGAGCTGCGGCGGGTTGGTGCTGACGTGGCGACCAGGATATTATAAGAAAACTGCCAGGGCTTCGGATTTGAGATGCGGGTCCTGGGAGAGGGTAGACTATTTTTGGCTGAAGTTTACAAGTTTAGGTTTCAAGGTCTAGGGTTTTGGTCAACTTTAGAGGCTTGGGTTGAGGGATGTTGAAGGATTGCGGATTTGTTTGCATGTCCTATCTCAAAGCAATGATACTCAGCTAACCTGGCCCTCCATGAGATGATTTCCTCAACCCCGCCACAAACCCTTTTCAAATCGTCTTCTGAGAAGTCCACTTAACAAAGCCCCCCCACTTAACCCCTAAACCCTGGGCCCCAAACGAGGTCCCCGTGCTTCTCAGAAGCAAGCCAGATGTGTTTGCAAGTAGAAACGACATGAAACGAACACTGCTAGCCGGGCCCCAAACTCTAAACCCTGAACCCCCAACCCTAAACCCTAAACCCCAATTCCTCAAGCCCATATAAACTTACCAAAGATAGGGTCCTCAAATTTCCTTAATTTTAACATTTCCAGATTTCCAAATCCAAATTCCACACACAAACCATAAGCTTTCAAACACAAGTGGGCGCGTTTCAGCCAGATTGGGTCCTTCTGCAAAACCCGACATGCCATGACCCTGTTTAAGGTAAATCCCAAATGAGCTATAATTAGTCTAAACTCCTTAAAGTGGTTATATAGGGTTTAGGGTTTAGGGGCCTAAACTCCTTCACGAGGTTATATAGGGGATTATAAATGGGACCATTATGACAATTCTTAAGGGGGACACTAGGATTTTAGACTATGGCTCAGCTAGGCCCCAAGTTGCTGATGAAACCTCGATGTAAGCCTAAACCCTAAATCATAAAGCTTAAACCCTAAACCTTAAACCGTAAACCAAACCTTAAACCCTAAACCCATGATGGGTTACCAAAAGGATCCGTTTCTTCATGCCTAGGTCTTCTTCAACCCGGTCCTTCCATCAAGCTACTGTGTGGGGCCTCTTTCCTTCCGGGACCACCGCAAGATCATGGTCTGCGATGAGCTGGGCTTCTGTGGCGGGATGAATATACAGGAGACTGAAATTCTGGTTTATTATCGTGTTCCCATCATAGTAAGGGCCCTAGTATTGAGGGTACCTAAGAAAGGATCATAAATCAGACGTTCTACTTGGTGAAAGGCTGAAGGTTTGGATCTTCCGGCAAAGTCAGTGTCGTACAGGTCCGCAGGATCAGAATTAGGTAGTCACTCACTAGGGCACGGGTGAATGAGCGGCTTGCTAAGAACCAGAAGGGTTGGTAAGTCTATTAGGTTTTTAAGAACCAAAAGGATTTTCAAATTGTCATTCATCAAGTCCCGCAAGCGAATGTGGACCCATGACTGCTTGTCGCCACCCTAAACCCTAAACCCTAACCCTAAAGGAGCTTCCTAGCATGAACCTTGGGCGTCCCAACAAATTCGGTTTTGAGCTTGTAGGGAGTTTACAGCACTTCCTGGTTGAGATGACGGCTTTTGTGTTCAGGGCGCGGGTGCCCCGAAATTCCAAATGTCCGTTGGGACCTGCATTCCTACCATATTGCTTCCCTTAACCCAATAAACAGTCAGCTCTAGATCGATCATTGTTTAAAACCCGTAGTATCTTCCTTGATAGTCCCCATAATAATCCCCTACATAACGCGCTTCAAGGAGTGTAGGCTATAACTCAGATGACAATAGGCCCTGGCAGGAGGAAGTGGGTGAGGCAGAGTTCGGCACGAGCCGCTTTTACGATGTGCACGCGAAGCTTGAAGGACCATGCGTTGCAGATCTGGCAGAGGCCCGGAAGGGTTTAGGGTCTAGGGTTTAGGGCTTCCACGACAACCACGACAAGTGACAGTACGTGTTCGGCAACAGTAAACATGACAATGGAGACATGTGAAGACCACAACAATGACCACACAAACCGAGACATGCACAGCGACAATGGCTGCGACCCTGCCGACAACAGCAACGACGACGAGAACCAAAAACATGAGAGCAGAAACACGAAGACAATGTATTGCTAAATAATTTGGGGAAATATTTTCCCCCAGCTGTTTAGAACAGGAACATAACATTTTGAACGCTGAGCAAGCAGGCGCTGCTTGTTGCAGGTAACCGCTTAAGCCTTGGGCTTGACTAGAAGTGAAACTGTCTGAGCTATGAGAGATGTTTTTAGGGCATATACGTACAGCTTTTATTGCTATTATCATTATTTATCATGAGTATGACTATGATCTATATTACTTTACAACTACAAGTACTACTAGGCATGAAAAAGCTTGGTTCTACCAGGCCTGGACTGAACCACAGAAGCTGCTACAAAGTCCACGGATCAAAGATTTGCTTCTTTCGCCCGACAGGCCCAGACACAGAAAGGGAGTGCAGCAACAACACATGAAACAGCAACAGCCGCAACCGCAACCACTCCACAGTCACAGCCCCAGGTTCACCCCATTGTGAGATCCATCTCCACAGTACTTATTTGCTTGTCTGAAACTATTTGAAATTCGAGCTGCTCCTAGCGGCTGAATGGACAAGATGGGAGATTCTCCGTACATCGCCTAACAAATCATCTGTATGGCCCTTTGAAATTGAAGTCCTTGTATATCAACGAATTCTCCAGGGTTCTGGGACACCTTCAAATGGTGATGCGCGTGAAGGCTTCAGGATTTCCCTTGCCAATCCCCCAGACTTGCAGAGCAAACGGCATTGAGCTAGAATATAGTAAACTATAGCGTAACATAGTATTATATAGTATAACCTAGACCCTCCTCCTACCCTCTATTAGAGCCTAAGTACCCACTATTAGGGACCATATATCCCCAATTAAGGGTACAAGGAAGGTCCTGGAATATAGTACAATAGAGTATGAAGTTCAACTTATAAAGTGATGGCATCGGTTAAATCTCAACGTCCCAAACTTCCACTCCGGAAAGCTAAATCCTGAACCGCGTCAAACCCTTAATCCTAAACCGGACGCCCTAAAACCTTAGGGGTTTAGGTTTCAGGGATTTAGGGTTTTTGGGTTTAGAGGTTTAGGGGTTTAGAGGTTTAGGGTTTAGGCCCGACTCCTCAAACGGAGGTCTTCAGAGATTCCTTGCATGAAGCTGGGGGCCGCGTGATGCGGAATTCCATCGAGCCGCCTCCCAGGCATTGCAGGGAGTGGTGCTTAGGGTTCAGGGTTTAGGGCTTCAGATTATGTAGGGTTTAGCTTAGGTCAATCCCCCCTTTTGTAATGGCTCCTTAATATAGAGTTANNTATAGAGTTAATAGGACCTTAATATACCTTGTGGTACCCATTAGTGGGTGGGGGATTGACCCAAGTTCTAGGGCTATGTAGGGTTCAGGGGTTGGTTCTATGTTTTCAGGACATAGGGTACATAGGGCTTATGCGGTGCGAGCTTTATGGAAGCACAGGTACTCTTAGGAAGCCTAGGCATATGCAAGGATCACAGGGCACTACTGGGGTCCTCTCAACAAGTGTGTATGGATTATCTGCCTTCCGAAGCAGAACTTTCAGAGGTGTTACACAGCATTTCGTTTGTGTAGTACCTGGACAACCAGATGCGCAAGATATACTGCAGAGATTGAAATAGTTACTAATAACATAGTCCTAGATTCATCATATAATCACGGCATAGGGCTGCAGTACCTGCCCCAAACAAGCATGGGAGCCCGAACGGCCTAACCTGTAGAACCGGATTTACAGGGGCTTCCCTTGAATGAGCCTGAATTAACCCGAAACCCCTAATCCCGAAACCCATAACTGTTCTCAGATATCCTTCATGAAGGGGAACCTACAGGCTGGTAGAGGCCGGAGGAGGGAAATTCTGAAAGAAGGTGGTATCCTGCATACATTTACTAGGATGAAGCGGAGCTTATAGACTTGTCGAGTTTGTGACAGGAGGTTTTGGCCCTTAGCAGCCCAAAGATCCCAGACTTAGATAGAGGAAAAAACTCAGTCATGACCAGCCGCGTTTTGAATAGCAGTCGGGTTTCCTAATATACCTATAGGCACCCTTAAGCAGATAGAATATGGGGTATATGGGGATCTTATTTTGATATATCCAAAGCCATAGTATATTCTATCTACTTGAGGGGGACTATACCTTACCACAGCCCAAATCCTATACCACGAACCTCCTAAACCCCAACTCTTGAGAGGAAGGAACCTGGGGTCTATGTCCAGATCCTACAGTCAAACGTGCGGCAGCGCCGCCGCACTTTGCAAAAGGCCGATATGGGGTGTTTCAGGGTTTTCCAAAACAATTCCACCTTCCTAAGGGGGGCTCCTACATAGTAGTTTGCATGAATTGGGTGGGGGGGGCAATATAGGCGGCATGAGATTATAGCCCTTACTAAAGGGACCGGCCCAAAAAGGATTTGTAATTCCAGAAAACACCCTTGTAAGCCTCACAGCAAAATTTCTGTTTCCCCGTGTGTGACCAAATGGATATTCAGGGTTTCAGCCCCCTACTGCCCCGTAGGTTGTCCTTTGATTAAGGTTAGAAAGGGATAACTAGGGCTGATTAAGGCTAATGCAAGGAGAACCTGGGGGTAGTAGGGTGCGCGCATCATTAGCACAATTGGAATCCCATTTTGAGTTAACGTTGGGAAAGAAGACCTTTAAGGTATGTTAGGAGTATTCCTTGGGGATCCCACCCACCAATGTGGTTTCCTAGGAAGAAATGGGGAGGCCTATAGAATTCCCACTAATTATATTAGTCACTATTTGTGGGCAGGGGCCCAACCTCAAAAAACATGAAACCTGAGTAAGTAGTCTGCTAAGGTCCTAGTGGCTAGTAGGGAATGAAGTAATGGAATATGATAGTTTTACTGGAGACTATATAGGGGCTGCTTTCATGTTTTGATGTCCTACAATTTCAGTAGCAGCGGAGTACATTTTAGGACCCCAATTTGGGTAGGAAGTAATTTCGCCTGAGGGTTTCTTGGGGTTGAAGTCTTCAGAGTAGAGGGAGTAGAGGGTTGCAGGACTCGCTGCCTTTTTCCATTGGGGCTCTACCCTGCCGCTGCCGCAGTTTTCAGCTTAGATTTCCATCCTGGCTTGCCAAAAGGGACCCCGTACTGCAGATGTGCTGCAACTACTCGTTATCCGCTTCATTTATCAAAAACAAGTCAGGAACGCAAAATGACCCTCTTACTTTTCAATAGTATCCCAAGAAGGACCCAGCATAAGCTTGCTTCGCGAAGGTCATTGAGAAAAGCATTGATGCAGCAGACGAGTCAGTGCTGCTTACCACAGCTTACTTCTTTCCACCTGGTTTCCTCAAAACAGCACTCCTGCGCGTGCCGGCGCGCGGCGCGCGGCTGTCGCTACTTTTGTCAGGGTCCTCGGACTTCTATCCACTACCAGGCGATCTACTGGCACAGACACACTTCTTGCGCAATTTTCTGCGAGATACTGAGCTGCACTTAAGGAACTTTCAGAAAGTTATCGTTGAAAAGAAACCCTATATAGTAGCTACCATGTAATCCTATTCTGGTCGTTTAAGTTCCTCAGCAGCCACCCAGGATAGCCCCAGTCATCAAGTCAAAGTGCACTTGTATGGCCACCGGCACATGCATGCAAAGCACATGCGCCTGGACAGTGTGTTTGGCCGGCTGTTTTTTTTCTAGGGCAGGTAGGGTTTTTCAATATGTGTGGTCCTTTTGTTAAAGATGGTGTAGCTTGTGAGGATGGAACTCTGTTGGAGTATATAGGGCGGCAGTTACAACCGGGTGATATTCTACAGTTCTTGCACGGGCCAGTATAGATAACCCTCGGGTTGCGTAGCAGTCGAGCAGCCGCAGGTGTGTGGATGGGGTCTTCTCCACGATCGGCTCTTTCAATTTCGATCTCTACTCTGCACGTCGGCACCTGGGCCATTGTTGAGCATCCAGTTCCGTCGGGGGACTTGGACAAGTGGGAACATGCGCCATTACAACGCAAGAATGGAAAGCAGATGAAATCCCTGAACCCCCCTTCTCTTCTTCCATCATGCTCTGGTCCCATTAACAGTAGGAGCAACCCTGCCTTCGAGTTTGCATTCCTATGGAAGCAACAGGCGTGCAACACCCGAAGCCCCCGTGGTTTCCAGAAACAGGGAGGGGGACCCCAATGTCATTCACTGGGACCCTCAAAAGAGACCCCTGGTTTTGGAAGTCCCCGAATGAATATGTTTCTTGAAGTTCCCTGAAAGTCCAGCAACCCAGCACGTTCGAGGGACGTATCTCCTCAGTTACCCATTGCAGCCGCTTCATGACGCTTTATAAACCCTAAACCCTTTATAACCCTAAACCCTTAGCTTCCTCAATTCTCTAAGCACTCAGTATCTAAGGACTTTTGGAGGGACCCCCCATAGGGACCCTTGTAGCTTACGGGGATTAATATGGGGACATCTTAGGGATATAGGGGTTATATAATACAAGGGTTATATATGGTAATGGGATTGAGGGTCCCTATTAGGGGTCCCTCCTAAAGTCCCTAGACAGTAGCCCCAGATTCCCCCACAAAGCAATGGCTCAGGAACTTAGAGGTCGGTGTGGCCGTCTTTGACCGGGACTTTGCAAGAACCATGCAGATCTTTGGCGGTGTTGGAGAGTGTAATGTTTACCTAAACCCCTGAACCCCTAGTCCCTAAACCCTAAACCCCTAAACCCTTCGGGCTGTGGAGAAAAGGTCCCACAAAAATCAAAAACTAAACCCCTTTTAGTGTTTGTTTTGTCTGCTAGGATTAGGTTTGCATTTCCAGTTTTCGCTGTCCTTCCCACATATCCCAGAAGTTTACCACACCTATCACAATACCATAAGCCTTATTACAGACGCTACCTAGCAGAGACCCAGCTTCTTGCGCACCCTCATTAGGTTGTCATAGTGAGGTATGGCATATCTTCTGGCTTTATTGTGTGTGTCTTCACTGTTACAGATACCCCGACATGGTGTGGCTGTTGTTTGCGTGGCTTGTGTTGGTAAATCTGCGAATGGGGTATTCGTGCAGTGTGCACATGCTTCTAACTTCTAACCATTGCAGGGTGCTGCTGAGGTAGACCCTTCGCGCAGTCATAGTGATTATCAGGGGAAATGATGATCACATTAGGGTCATCTTCTATCCCTACTATACGACTATTACATGGTGGGGGGATCCACCTAAGGGCTAAACCTTTCCTAACCTTCTGATGTTGTGTGCCTATGCTGTGAAGAGAATGTTGATAGCGATGAGAGGCAGCCAAGAGGGTTTGGCGCTTAGGGGAACCAGTTCCTTAGTAGCTTAGTAGGCACACTATTGGGCACTTTTAGGGTTCTTCTAGTCCTACCATAACATGTCGCAGTGTAAGTATATGTGCATTATTTCTGTTTCTGTTAGTATTGTGGATGTTACTACTGTTGTTAGTCTGTTGATGTTACAACCCTAAACCCTCAACCCTGAACCCCTAAACGCCACACCCTAATTAGGTGTGTGTATTAGTGTTTACTGTTTTAGCCTAGGGAACTCAGCCGCTGGGCTTTGAAAGGCTCCCCTCTTCTGCGAAGAAGGCGGTCCTACGGTTACGGGTTTAGGGCTAAGGCTTCTTAGGGATTATGGGCTTAGGGTCTAGGGTCCCATGGGTCAGTGGTTTTCAGTTGTTTTCCAAGCTATGCACCCGGAAGTTGCAATGTCAACTACGGCACCTACTGTACCAGACGCTTAAGAAAGCAACCAGATGGGTTTTTAGCAGTAGGACAACCAATACGTAACCCCGTAAGTAATGTAATCCCTTTGCTCAGGACCCCGCGCAAGGGCCCAGAATTTCTGGAAACCTGGGTTTGTACCCCTCAACAAACTTGGAAGTTAACCATGACAAACCCACAAATGAGACCGATATCCCCCCTCCATTTCTTGAAGTAAACTAGAAAAAGCCCTTATCCCTGAGCCCTTTTGGGGGGGTTCTCAAAATTACTACCATATCCTAAACGGTAAATCCCAGGCCCTAAACCCAACCCCATACCCTTGGATGGTGGTCCCAAACGCCTGGTGAGGAACCTGCATTTGAAGCGGGCTGCGGAGTCCCGGCAAACTTCGTACAGCAGCTGGCCGCGCAGGGTTTCGAGTTTGGGGATTATGGTTCAGGGTTTACGGAAATCCAGAATCCTGAATGCATTATTTGGGAATTCCGAGTATGGGTGTAGAGAATGGTTGCGGTTTAGTCTGTTCGGGTGCGTTGCCTGAACAAGGGGCAGCCCAGGCCAACATAAGCCATAGTCTGAACACATCGTATCCCCAACCCTAAACCCTAAACCCTATAGTAGTCCCCTCCTTTAAGGGTTTAGACTATAGCTCATAGACCAACCTGAACAGTCAGCTAAGGCGGCTAAGACACCCAAGCCTGCTCGCTTTAGGGTTTGGGGTGCTTTGGGTCCAACCCTAGGGTGTCTTATACGTATTGTTCAGTCCAGATGCTAACACCAGCATTAGCAGAAGGGTTTCCGGTTTAGGTTGAGGCGACGGGATTGCAACCCTCTTGGGACTATGGAAGAACAACTGGGCTTCTTTACAGATCCAAAAACCTTGATTCCCTACATGAGCTGTAGTCTAAACTCCGAGTATCCCCCTTGATCGCCCCTACAGTACTCCGCAATATAACCCCTCAACCCTCAACTCTAAACCTTATATAACCCCCTTTAAGGAGTTTAGACTATGGCTCACATGGCAGCAAGGCTCAAAAGTCTGCGCAAGAATCTCCTGCTAGGCACCAGGTGGTAGGTTGTTTGGAGTTTAGGGTGTAGGGTTTGTCAACAATATAAGTCCCGTTTTTAGGTCTCTGTTCCAATACGGCGCTTAATCAGGGTGCCCAAAAAAGTACCACAATTTGGAAAATCCCCCTTACACCTGATCCCCAATACCTCTCAAGTCTGGGTAATTCCTTGTATGAACCCCTAAACCGTAAACCCTTAACCTGGCAGCCTAGGTGCGGTGTGTTTTCTTTTAGGGGGTCCTACGGTTGGGGCAAGAAGAGATCCTGCTTTCGGATATGTGTTTCTCCGTGAAGGACTTAGTCTTAATTACTGGCTTCCACCACCCTCAACCTCAACCCTAAACACCAAGAAAACCCCCTAAAACCTAAACACCAAGAACCCCCGCATCTCAGGTGACTCCATGTATCACCAGCCCTTGGTGCGTTTAGCCTGTGCAGTGGCTTTCAGTCTCGTCCGCCTATCTGGCAGGCGCCAGAATTTGTAGAGCATAAGGTATAGACCAGGGTTTAGGGTTTAGGGGTTTAGGGTTTAGGGCTTTTAAGATCATGGCTGAATCCTGGTCCGGGATTCTCTTCACAATTATGGTGTAGGATGCCTCAGATAGATCTCAAACCAATACTGGTGGATGTTAAGGCCCCGACAATAGCGTGTCCCAGGCTTGCCAGCAACTTACAATAAGTCTTGCCCCGTGAAGAGTGAACAGTCCTTCCAGTTTAGTTACGGTTAAGGGTTTAGGGTTTTTGTGGTTTAGGGTTAGGGGTTTTGAGGTTTGACGTTTAGGGTATACGGTTAATGTGGTTAAGGCCACTAAGTCCCCAGCAAGATAACTTTGGATTTTTGGCTTGATAGAGGTTGTCCTAGAGCTTGGCGACGGCCTTATGAGCGGAAACTGGGGAAGGACATCTATAGGACGTCGTAGTAGTAGTAGTAGTAGCAGTAGTAGTAGCAGTAGTAGTAGTAGTAGGAATCATGAATGTAGTCATAGTAGTCATAAGAGTAACCAAACAAGTAATAACAATAGATACAATAGTAGGAGAAGCCTGCAGTAAAGGAAGGCCTGAGAATGCTTTTGGGTTTAGCTTGGTTTAGGGTTTTGGGTGTAGGGTCTAGGTTCCGAGCAGTCCACGATTTGTGAAAGCAGCCGCCATTCCCTCAACACCTATCCTAAGACCTCAATTATCCCTATACGCCCCTTGAACAATCCCAGGCGGCACCCCTGCTGTGAGAACATATTGGTTATTGCCCCCACCCTATAACAGCTCCCAAGTATCACCGCTCTAGCATGAGTATACTTCTTAGAACAGACATCTCTCTCTCTCTCTATATATATATATACATACGCGACTGTTGCAGGTGTGGGGGGGGGGGCGGTATCCCACCCCATACTCCCACACCCCCTAAGGCATAATTTCCAAGCACTACCCGTAAACCTATTGAAGACCTGACCCTAAACCCTAAACCCTAAACCCTAAACTAAACCCATAACCCGTAAACCTTATACTGAAGCCGAAGAGGAATGTTTTCGATGGCCTGGACTGCTTTCAGAGAAAATGGCTTGTGCGCAAGGCCTGGGTGGAGGTATTTGATGTGGGGCTTCAGGTATTTCAGGAGTTTTTGGTTTTAGTGTCAAGTTTTTGGGGTTGTAGTTTTCAGGGCTTGGGGGTTACTGGTATGGTGTTTTGAGTGGGGTTTAGAGTTGAAGGTCTTAAGGTGTAGAGCCCTTCCCCCTGTTATAACAACCTGCACCCATTTCTTCACCAAGATGGTGTCATAGTTTACTACTAGGGAGAGATTCACAGTGGGGGGGGGGGAATGTTTTATATAATTCGGGAGAGGGATCGGTGGCTGACGAGGTTCAGTAGGCTCGGCCCGGTGTAGGTCTGTGGGCTACAGGGGGTTTGGGGTTCTGCGGTCTAGGGGGGTATGATGGCTCAGTCAGTCTCTTTCAGGGTTCAAAAGCTCAATGGGGTTTTTGGCAGAGACGATTACGAGCCTTTGTATGAAGCTTTTGTACAGCCTGCAGACACATAGAGCCCTCAAGGTTTTTGATACTTCGGGTTTATGGTTACAGCTGTTGAAAATTGAAAAAGGTTGCTGGTTCAGGATTATTCATTGACGCTTCAGTGCTTGGGCCATGAACCGCTTGATAGCCATTGCAGGTCTCTGGCCTAGTGCCCAAGCACATTGATAGATGTTCGACAGAATCATCAGGGTTATTGTTCCCGAAAGCATCACGCCGAAAGAAATTCGAGAAGACCTCTGACCAACGTTGGGTGGAGGAATCTTGTAGCACTAAAGGAGCCGCAAATACTGCTTGGGGGTTTGCATGATTTCCGAATCCCTAAACCCATAGGAGATCATGGACTGAAAGTGTAGATTTGCCATTCCTATGAACCCATGCCAAGCTCAAAGTATTGCTGAAGGCTTTTGGGGCTTGAGCGGAAAATGGATCCTCGTGTCATGCGTTCCCTTACTACCCCATGCCTTGCTATTCCCAATGTTTCCCTTGAATTGGGCTAACCTAGTGATGGTTGAAGCTAATTTAGGGGGTTTAGGGTTTAGGGTTAGGGTGGGAAGCTCAGGAGGGCTACGATAAGGAGGGTGGCTCGGAGAACTCATGGTTAGGCCCACTGCAAGCTCTGTAGTATTTAATTTGGGGATACAGTACTAGAATCCTCAACACAGAGATCCTCCTTTTCCTGCAAAACTCCAAAAGCAGACTTGAGGCTGGCATAGCTTTGAAGCAAGAAATTTTGACCCACACCGTGCGCAATCAAATCGCCACGAACCCCTGAACCCCTATAGGGTTTGGGGCTGAGGGTTGAGCCTGAACCTTATAAACCGTAAATCGAACCCCCGACCCTAAACCCTGAGCCCTACATATGAGCTCCAGTCAATGTTAGGCTTGTTAAGGGACCCTCACCAGTGCACATAGGGGTCCCTCTTATAATCTATTAGAGAGCGTAATATAGTCCTTAATGAGGGGCCCATGTCCATTAAATCATGTAGTACCCAACAACGCCCATCTTCCCAAAGAACGCCTTCCCCCCAAAAAACAAAGGAATCCTCATGTAGGAAATGTTGACTGTAGCTCATCTGTCGCCCCAGGCGTCTCTGACATTCTTACTGGAGGAGCAGTGCCGTCCCCAGCATGGACGCTGCAGCATAACAGGAACAATAATCGGGTTTAGGGCTTAGGGTTTGG